TTACGGCATAAGAAACATAACTAGTGTCCCTTGTTTTAAAGGGTTTCAGAGTTTCGTACGATAACAATATATTGAAGCGTAATGGAGGTTCATGAGCGCCTATTGTATCCCCTACATCATAATCTGCGAACTTATAAATATGAGTCATAAATATACTTAACGCAGGTCTGGAGAGTAATTCCCCGTTCAGCAGTAGCACGGTTATGTTTTGATTTCTTATACTAAATTTCGCAAATAAAACACCGGTCCTTAGCGTCAAAAAGAGTTTAAAATATTATTCTGATATTTGTGGGGGATGGAGAGAGCGTTCTGCATGTTTCAGTTGGTGAGAGACCTTTACAGCTCGTATATTGTGTCAAGGTCTTTTCGCCTCGCTACGACTCGTGTTGACCAGAGGAACTAACGAAGTTCCTGTGACTCTATACGCAACGTAACCCACTCGTGCTCGCCGATAATCCCAGCTGTGCAGCTGTCCCGAACGTCGAGGCGCTTCGCCGATGAAGTATCGGAAGCGCGACGAGTCCAGGTAAGGTGCCGGCAGCCAATTCACTTTATTGAGTTAGCAGTTCCGCTCCAACCTTCCACGCCACGTGACGTCATGCACGTCCACCTGAAACAGAAAAGACTGAATTAATTAAAATAAAAGCAAAAGATTTGATATATAGGGGCGACTTCCCAACGCAATAGTCATTGGCGGTTCAGGGAATTTGGAAAATATTTTTATGCATTATTATTTATATTATTTTATTATTAATTATTATTAAATATTATTATTATTATTTATTATTATTATTATTATTATTATTAATATTAATATTATTATTATTAACAATATTATAATGCCTATGAACTTTTCAATAATTATTCAATTTATATTTATTAGATTAAGATAGTTTTAATTTTGCGCGTTCAACTTTACTCTTTAGACATAAGTCCAAACTTCCCTATTTAAGAATACTCTTAATTTTCTTGGCGAAGGCTACCTTGACTCAGATTCTGTGACACGTATTTCTAGCATGCCGCAAAGTCTCCCCCTTCACACCTGGGTTGGTGACGATCAGTAATATGCAATCGGGACTGTGCTTCACCAGATCGGGAATTATCTTCTTGAACATGTCGGCATTCTTCTGCACCAAAGCCAGTCTTGACTCTCCCGGCTTCCTACGGGCGCCGACGGTCACGACGATTAGCCGCGATTTGGCGCACACGGCGTAATCTGCATCAACAGACACACGACAAAGTCAGTATTCGCTGGAGCAAAGGAGCTTTTCGTGAAAAGTCGTGTTGACGCCTTTAAGGTCAATACGTTGTAAATGATTTCGTGACTGATTGACATCAAGGACTTCTTAAATCAAAAGACACGACAAATTGTTTACAAACATGGCGGATTCTATTATGGATTTTGGAGCACAATCATGGGGTGGTACCTGCACCATAACCTAGATATGTTGAAAAATTACAGAAGAAAATGGTGAAAATTTTATTTGGAGCCAATTTAGAGAACAACAAAGTTGAGACTATGCGATACATTATCTCCACTGGGCTTCTACAAATGCCAACAAGACTTTCCCAAGAATTACAATACAACTCCATATCAATAGAATCACCAATATAATACCAGGGATATAACATTAAATGTGCCAAAGCCGAACAACAAATAGGAAGAAAGAAGAAGGATGTGTTTCATACCCACTTTTTGCACAAGTTTCTAAAATATATAAAAAGGACAGGAAATAAATATCAGCAACTCACACAAAACCTGGCTACAGAGTATGCAAAATTCATATAGAGTTAAATAAAGAAAAAATCAAGTATGTAAACATAATTGTTACCAGAAAATAATGTAGGAAGATCAAGTTGTGTTTTTAATATTTAAGATAGATAAATTTGTAACTGAGAAAATAATTTGGCCAAAGCATGCAAATAAAGGGGAGGATTTATTTAATAGAATATGAATACATCTATTTATAATTACATTAATTTTAAAAAAAGGGTATATTATACAATTGTTGTTATTGTGAAACTGGAGAATATTATGTATGCACGTATGTATGTATTTTCAGCACTGCAGAAACGTATTTGATCGGAATATTCTAAATATTTATTTCAGAGGACAACCTAGAGAATTTCTGAGTCTATATTAGAATAAATAGTTCCGGGTACGTAAATACTTCGTCATCGGGAGTTGGTACTGACGATCTATCGTACCCACACCTATTATATTTTTCGTTATAGTACAAATTCGCGCGTTTTATAGAATCGTAAGATAATGAAATATAAGGATGAGGAGGGTGTTCCTTATTTTCATACAAATAAAGGCCGTAAATATATTCTTAATAAATTGGCATGCCTAGTACGATGAAGATTATTATTATTGTTGTTATTATTATTGTTATTATTATAAACAAACCCGGATAACACCCACTATCAGACAAGAAAAAGTGAAATGTAACCGTAGCCATGCTGACTACGAAATACAAAACAAGCGTCACAAACGACATGTAATTATTGATAATAATTATAATTCTACTGAATATTGCAATGTACTAAATGGGCACCTGATGTTTTAAAACTTACAAAAACCCTGAGATTTTTGTGATGAATAACAACGGCTGCCGCAACTGTCTGCGCCACTGGACCGACTTTATGATGATAATGATTATTATTATTACTATTATTATTATTATTATTATTATTATTATTATTATTATTATTATTATATTATTATTATATTATATTATTATTATATTATTATTATATTATATTATTATATTATTATTATTATTATATTATTATTATTATCATTCACAGTATATACTGGTCGATATGTAACCATACACAGGAATGATGATCAGGTGTGTGGTTGCTTTACTGAAGGTTCAGATGACTTCTGAAAATACGGCATGTATTCAAAACTGACTTTTGCATATTATATACTATCTTGGCATCCAAGTGAAGACACTCCAGTGCCCGAAGTGTCATTTTCGGGATAATTCTTGTAGCTGATATTATTATAGGCACAGTTGTCACTTTACTGAAGTTCCACTAAGTTGCGACTTCATGGGCGAGATCGGTATACTTCTGGATCTTCTCTTGATATTTTCCCGATATGATGTGGGTATTGGGAATTGATATATCAATAAGGAAAACCTGCTAATAGTTTTTATCAATGTACGTTATACCGGGTCTATGTCCGCCGACGTGTCTACCAGTGATAATGGAGCGATCCCAGTGTGTTCACTACTTTCAAGCACATTCTGAGGCACATATTTATAATACTGCATGGAAGTGGCGAGTAAGCCCTTTTTAATGCCAATAATTGGTGGATCTGCTTCGCCACTTCATCATGCCTCTTTTTATATTCCAACTGTGCGTGGCTGCTATATACACTTGTCACGTGTTGGATAGTTTCGTTTGCAGCCTCACATCTTCTACGAGTCGGAATGAATGGTAGAATCTCTCAGAATGTGTTTTCTGAAGTTCAATGTTGGCACCACTTGGACCTGGATAGCTATCATGAAGGCTTCTGTCTCCGGAAAGAGATCCCCGTGCTGGAGCCATGCGTGCGA